TATAGCATGGCAACAGCATTTCATTGGCTAAAATCCTTTACCAATCCTCAAGAGTAAAAAGTTAGAGGCCATAAACAGGAAAGCTTGTTGTTCACCCATTAGCCTTATCAAATTGGCAAGGTCACATAGACCTGCGTCACGTCACCATGGTGATGTGAGGGGGGGGAGAAGATAGATGCATAGCAAAGGCACAAGCGTTGGGGGACGCAGTTTTCCACACACGACTTTCGCCTGTCTCTCATCCCTACATCTCACTCCTTTTTGTTTTGTTAGACGAAATATCGCCATAAGCGGGGTTAATAAAAGGATTATAATCAGGAGAGGAGCATCCTTGCAGTTGTTAATATAGGGCCAAAACTTGACCCTGAGGCAATGTGAGAGAGGATCTACTGGGATTTATTGCAATCCTAAATCATTTTATATTTTTTGAAAGCCAATTAAATTATATCTTTGGTGCTGCAATTTAAGCAAAGTCCATTCAGATGGAAACAATTTGTATACAAATAGGTTAAATATATATAAATCTATAACAATGTAATTCAGTTAGTTCTTTTGGTTGTTGGATATAAAAAATATTGTCCAACATTACTGTTTCTCTTTTGAGTAAAAAAATTTATTTGCCGAAACTGCATAGGTGAATGTCAAGTTTCAGATTCACTCCACTCTTCTCAGATTACAATTCCAAGCAGAGGAAAAAAAAAATTTAAACGAACAGTTCCCCCCCCCCTCCTTCCTGTCTCTGGCTCTTTAAGCAACGCAGCCAGCCGAAAGAGACAGGGGGGAGAAATCTCACCACCAAAAAATAGTTTCACCTCCTTCCTATGCATTTTGCAATAAATTCTTCTCATACAAATATTTACTATTATTTTCACAGTTAGGGAAAAAATGGGTGGGTTTTGAAGGCTAACACACACTTCAACAAATTAACTCATTCAGTTCCATACTGACTGTTTGCATAAAACCATTCCACATACAATTATTTCATTTATACTTTCTCCAGGCAAACCATATATTCTTAGCAAGGCCTTTTTGTATTTTGTTATCAGAGAGGGCTTTGAGCCTCTTCCAAGTCTTGGAATAACACAGAACAACACAGACAAACGTATATACACAAATACTGTTACAACAACATTTATTTAGACATATAACTTGTCTTGCAAGAAGCGAGAAAAATGACAAGGTGATTTCAACCAAAAAGTGGTTTTGAGGGCCCTAATCATTTCCCATTTTTCTCACCATTCCAAGCCCAAGCATAATGCTCTTGAGTGGCCACACACACACAAACATAACACAAAACACAACCAGACATTTGTCTGATGGCTAACTTAATATATTACAGAGCATTCCGATTGCTCAAAAGACTTTGTTCTGAGGGAGTAAATTTTGATTTATGTCTAAGTAATCAACAAAGAATTAGCCTCTTCAGAAGAAGCTGAAAATCCAATTAAAGATGTTTTTAGAAGGAATAAATTTTACTTAGTTGCAAGCAGAAGCGGGCTGATAGTTAATTGCCGTTCTGAAGTATTTGGGTCCATTTTTTTCCTTCCTTTTGACAGGAGTGAACACTATAGATGTAATACTGAAGCCCAAGGTTCAAGATGTAATTTATGATCTTATCTTTTAGCCTAAGCCTCCGATGCTCAGGATTCAAAGGACACTGTTTTCCTATCTCAGCCCACCAGAACACTGTTTTCCTATCTCAGCCCACCCGCTTCCTTGTGTCTGCCCCAGGTTAGAGGAGGAATCTGAGTTCCTCCATGCCTGTCCTTGCTTTTGCAGGGGCCGAGATAACTTGCAGCTCATACTTACTCACTGAGGGGTCTCGTAAGACGAAAGTGCACTTAGAGGTCTGTTCCAGACTATGGTAAGTATGTTGGCAGCTGCTTCTTCCCGTAGGGGTCTCAAAACAAAATGTCCCTGCTGAGGGCGCCAGCTGTAGTAATCACTCCTTAGTCATTGAAGGGTGCAAAGAAATGGCCACTTACTACGCAGCCTTTTATTGTTTTTATAGAGGTTCACAAATAACAAAAGATACAGCATGGCAACAGCATTTCATTGGCTAAAATCCTTTACCAATCCTCAAGAGTAAAAAGTTAGAGGCCATAAACAGGAAATCTTGCTGTTCACCCATTAGCCTTATCAAATTGGCAAGGTCACATAGACCTGCGTCACGTCACCATGGTGATGTGAGGGGGGGGAGAAGATAGATGCATAGCAAAGGCACAAGCGTTGGGGGGCGCAGTTTTCCACACACGACTTTCGCCTGTCTCTCATCCCTACAAGGACCCTCTTGGGGGGGGGTCACTCAGCCCCCCCCATTAATCCACCCAACAGTTGTGCCATTTGCTGAAGGAGGAGATCAAGAGGGATCCCTTCCAAGGCTCTTCTGTGATCCTGGGATCTGCCTGATCTCCTCAGGCACCAACTGCCCCCACCTTCCCTTTCCCCAAGATCCCCCCTTCAGATCCTTCTCCCCTCCCTGTCCAGAATGGGGCAATTCACTGCGGGACAATTCAACAATTTTGTTCAATTATTTAAAATAATTTTTAAAATGTTTTTTTTTTTAATTTTTGTCCTTCACATTTCATTTTCCTCCTCCCTCGGCCTCCTTCCTTTCCTGATTCTCTTTCTCCATTTCTTCCATATTGTGTAACTTTTGTGCTGCATTGAGTTGGCTGAGTTGTCCTAGACCCCTCCCTGCCCCCCATCCCAGGCAGAAGGGTCGGACCCCTCCCCACCTCCCTCCCCAGGGGAAATGGGGCTGGGAGGGAGGCCGGAAGCTGCAGGGAGAGGTTGGGGGGGGGGAACCTGGGCAGAAAAAACCAAAGGTTCAAGTACAGATTAGGCGAAGTCTGGCTCAAAATCAGGGGGTCCTCATGGGGAGCCTCACACTGGAGGTAGTTGTTGAATTCAGAGGCAATCCCCCCTCCCCCCTCACACCTCCTGTTCCTCCCCATCTTTTAACTATAATTTTATCTTGATTGGGAATTCCATTTTGATTGCTATAGAAATATTTATCTGTTAGGACTTTAATGTTCTAATGCTGTAAGCCAGGGCTTTTCAACCTTTTCACCGACTGTACCACTTTTAGGATATGGCAATATTCGAGTACCACCTAGCAAGGTGTCAAACACTTGATGACCAAAAAAAAAACCTGTTCAAAGTTGCAATTCCTCTGAAATGACTTATGACCATTTTTCACACTTATGACCATTGCAGCATGCCCAGGGTCATATGATTTATATTTGGATGCTTGGCAATGGATTCATATTTATGATGGTCACAGTGTCCCAGGGTCATGTGATCCCCTTCTGCAACCTTTTGACAAGCAAAGTCAATGGCAGGGCTGCTGGTGGCCAAGTGCTAAGGCGGGACTTTCTTCCTTTCCTGCCTCCCTCCCTCCCTCCTTCCCTGCCTCCCTCTTTCTCATTCCCATCTCCTTCTGAAGGAAGACTTTGGACCCCCCCCCATTTCCCTTCTTCCATAGATTCATTGAACAAGGAAAAGCCTCCAGAGACAGAAAAGACAAGCCATTGAGGGAACTAGCTTAAAAAGGCGCATTCCCCTTTAAGAATCAGCTACTGGCTAGAAAGGAAAGTTAAGGAGCCCATTGTGCACTTAAGGAAGAAAAAAAAATGTAGTAAGTATGGCTGCTGGCTAAGGTAGACTCCCCAAATGGCTCCATTCGTAAGTAAAGGAATGCTACAGGCAAAATCCGTTCAGGAGAAAAATACTTCAAAATCCCTTGCATCAAAACTTACAGCTAACAATAGCAGAGCAATAGAAGCTGAGACATTAGCCATCAGCCAAATAGAAATTGCCAAACACTCCTTAAGAACACAAAGCCCCCATTGCACAAATGCCAGAACTTCAAAGTCACAAAAGCACAAAAGAATCCTTCCACTCTCCATCTCCCTCCTTGCCTCACCTCCAGCCAGTGCTGCCTTTCTTCATTGCTGCCTTTCTTCATTCCTCATGGAGAGCACCCCTCCTCCCTACCTCCCTTGCCTCTTGGTTGCTGCCAGCACAGGTGGCTGCCAAAGAAGTTGTAGATCCACTTGTGGCAGGCCTGCTTGATCTCCTCTCGTCTCATCCCACCCTCCTCCTTCTTTCCATTCTGTGCAGCTAGAGCTGACTCCTCCTCCTCCCAAGGCTGCTTTTTTTTCTCTCTCTCCTTCTCCTGGCCAAAACTGCCTCCTTTTATAGCCCCTCCTGTCTCCACTCCCTCCTCCTCCTTTCTCATGGGGGAGGGGGGTGAGCCGGAAGTGAGCCTGGGGCCTTTGCCTCACCCCAGCCACTCTGCAGCTCTAGAGGACTCTCTCACAGTCAGTCCTTGCCTGCGCTGGCTCGTTCCCTCCCCCACTACACTTGGCTGGGCAGGGCAGCATACCATCTGCCATATGCTCATGTACCACAGGTGGTACACATACCACCAGTTGAAAAGCCCTGCTGTAAGCTGCCTAGAGTCATTTTATCATGAGATGGTGGCAAACAAATTTAATAAATAAATAAATGTTCAGGTATTCTACCTATTTTTTAAAAAATGTGGTTTTCTTTTGAATGGGATCCCTGCAATTCTCCAAAACATGCTGTGTGTCTTCCCCGTCTCCTGGGTCTCTTTCTGTCTCCGCCAAATCTGGCAGGAAATTCCTTCTGTTCCGGGGCATTTCCAGTATTTATTTCTGTTGGACTTGTGCAATTTGATGATGGAAACTGATCCCAACCAGGAACAATTTATGTTTTTCCATCTTTCAGGATCCCATTTAATTTCTTGCTGCAATTCGCTTTGAAAATGACTTAAAACAAATACTATTTTCAGGACTGAAAATGGCTCTTGGCCTGAACTAACTGACTTGGTCTCCTGTTCTGGCCCCTCCTATGTCTCCCCTGTGTCCCTCCTCCCTCTCCTCCAGCCAAGCCCACCGTTTCCATCTCCCCCACCAAGCTGGATCCCACTTCGCCTAACACCATCTTCCTCTGCATCGCGAGAGGCTTCTACCCCGTGGAGATCGAGGTCCAGTGGCTGAAGAATGGGCAGCTGGAGGAGGAGGGAGTGGCCTTTGGGGAGGAGCTCCAGAATGGAGACTGGACCTACCAGCTCCAGGTGATGCTGGAGACCCAGCCCCAGCGGGGGGATGTCTACACCTGCCAGGTGGGGCATGCAAGCCTGGAGGCCCCCATCACCGTCCAGTGGGGTGAGCCCCTCCTGTCCCCCTCTGGGGACCCTTTCCTGCCCTGAGAAGGGGGGAGAGACCCTCCCTGTGGGGGGAGCTGGGATGGACCCTCCTGGGGGGGGAAGCTGGCCCTGATCCTCCTGCTCAGGGGGGGCTCCTTCTCCTTCCCCAGAGCCCCGTTCCTCCAACTCAGCCAGGAGCAAACTCTGGACGGGGATCATGACAGCTGTGATCGGGGTGATCTTCTTTGCCATGGGGCTCTCCCTCCACCTGAAGAGCAAGAAAGGTGAGTCTGGGGGGCTGGATGAGAGATTGTGGGGAGGGGACCATCCAGGGGAGGCCTCTCAGCAAGCTTAGCAGATGGCAAGGAGGCCCCCTTGGAGATTTGCTTGGGAATTCTGTTCTTTGAGAGTCTACTGTATAAGTCAACATCCTGCAACCTATTATGGGCTATCGATGGGGAGGGGCGCCCCCTGAGTCCTCTAGCGCATGAAGGGTCCTGATTGGCTCTTTTTCTCCTTCCAGCAACTCCCATCCAGCCTCCTGCAGGTGAGTTTCTCCTCAACTTATAGATGTTTCTTTAACATTCGTTAATTGTTCCTTTTTTTAAAAAAAAAAATGTGCCTGAATGAAACCTCCTAGCTGTGGATAAAACAAATATTTGAAGTTTTGGGCAGCTTTTCCTTTCAGAGACCTGAAAATGCATTGCAATAAAAAACAAACATACACACAAACATTAAAATTTTCCAAGTTTTGGAAAATTGCAAAAGGGAAGGGAAGTCTGCTTGTGACATTTCACACAATTTCTGGCAAAGCGACACCCAGCGTTGCTATGGCTCCCCATCCTGGCCCCATCATCTTTGTTAATATGAAATGTCTGGGGGGGGGGCTCCTCTCTTGATTAACTCCCCAATTAAGTTAATTAGGGAAAATTCCATGAGCCTCTGGAGATGAATTGCTGATCCTTTGCATCCTTTTCCACTTTCAAAAAAAGGGGGGGACAATCCCTCATTTTGTTCCTACCTATCAACCACCCCCCTGCAATGTGGGTCTGTCTGGGAGAGTGGCTGAAAGAGAGGAATAATAAGCTATTTACACTGGCTTCACTTTGTTTTCTAATTTTCTCCCCATCTCTTTTTTTCTACAGCACTCATGAATTAATCCTGCGGTCCTTCCTGCTTCCTGGTGGGAAAAGAAGGGGCTTTTTTCCATTAGCTGAAGAATTTCTGTCTCTGCAACCTCTGAAAAATGGAGGGTCAAGATTTTAGATTGGGGGAGGAGGAGAATGGCAGCCTGGAGCTTTTTCTGCTGAGACCCCTCTGACTTTCCTTTGAAGGCCTCTCTTTCTTGTGAGGGAGCGGTAGAGACCCTCTAGACTGACCCCTGGGACTCTGAACTTGTTTGTCAGTCCAGACACCCAAATCTCTCCTGGCTTTAAATCCACAGCAGCTTCATCTTCATTACTTTTCATCTGAATCCCTTCCCTTCGCTTTGCTATAAAAGAATAAACATTGTAGGAAAAATCCTAGAATTCCTCCTTCCTTCCTTCCTTCCTTCCTGTTCCTCCTCCTCTTTCCTGCAACCACCACAGAAGGGTCCTCCCTTCTCCCCTTCCTCTCCCCAGATTGATACCTCCCCTGCCTTTGGATTAACCATCCTGGCTGCTTCAGATCCGAAGTCAAAACTGGTTCTGGAGGAGGGTGGGTAGATCCAGGGAGGGGAAGGGGCAGGACTCCCCTCCTGCTCGGGGCCCTCTTTCTCTACTTCTCCTCAACCCTACTTTTGAGGACCAGGATGCCAGGAGGCATGGTCCCCTTCAAGCACCTGTGGGGAGCCATTGGGGGACACCTGAGACTCCCCCTACACTCACCCAGCCATTTCTGCCATTTCTCTTCTTCACAATTGGAGGGTCCTGCCCCGTTTTGGTACCCAATGCCTCCCTCCCTCCACCTGAGACTCCAGAGGCCTTTTCCAGGACTGCCCACCTATCACCGCTGCCGCCCCACAGCCCTTCCTGCCTTCCCATCTGAAGCTCCCTCCCTCTGGGCAGAGGGTCTCCAACAGAGAGAGTCCTGGGTTAATCTCATGTGGCCCCCCAACTGGAGCTCATCTGAGACCCCACACACAAAAAAGGCCCTGAGTGGTCTTGTGGCCAATGTCCTTGATCTCTGGGAAGGTTGCAGAGATGATGTCCATCTCCCTGGTCTGAGGGCTCCTGGGCAGGGGATGTTGGGAAGGGTGTCTTCCCCAGGGCCTCTTTGGGCCAGAGCAGAAAGTCCAGCCGAAGCCATTCCTGGTGTAGGAGACATTTGCCATCAGGGGGGAGGGAGGGAGAGCAGCTCTGCGGGAGAGAGGAAAGATCAAGGGGGCAACTCTGAGTGGAAGGCCCCTCCCTTCTCCCCAGCACCCCTAGATGCCCCTAGATAGCTCTCCCACTGAGCCTTGCCCCCTCCAGAAGCCATCCAGACTAGTTCTGCAGGATTCCCCTGGCATCGATCTCCAAGGGCTGATTTTTTTCTCTCCCATTCTTCATCTGGGGCACGTAAAGAATAGGTCAGTGGAGGAACTGTCTCAAACACAGAGAAGACTCTGGCTTCTGTCAGTATACCCTGTGGGTTTTCTCGCGCCCAGCGGTCTCCCATGGGTGTTGAAGAACAGACATGTACACGTGGTTTCCTCGGGATGGGAGCCTCAAACAAAGCCGAAGCATCCCTTTTATTGTGTTATCAGAAGGCGGGTTTATAGGCACCTGGTGACCACCTTACACCAACCACATTTGTTATGACACAGCATATTAGCATATTTGTTTTGCACACGCTACTATACAGCTGTTGCACACGGCACCAACAAACACCAAAACAACATTCCCTTGCACCGCACGGCACAAACTTGTTTTTTCACTTTTGACTTCCGCATACCTTGGCCTACTGCAGCTGATGACTCAGCCTAACAGGCCAGATAACCAGATAATTCCAACATCTCCTACTTTTCTGTTTTATTTAAAAATAAGGAGGTTGCGCTTTATAGGAAGTCATCCTCAGTGTCGCTTGGCAAAGTGAAGGCTGGTTTGGTTAGCAGGGGTTGCTGAACTGCAGTGATAGGTGTAGTTACTAAATTGACCTGTTGGTGGGTGACAGTTCCTGAGGAAAAATTTTTAAACATCATAAACAAAGAAGGCAAACATTGAATACAACAACATATCAAAACTAAAATAACTACAATAGTTATAATACCAGAAACCAATGATCGCAGCCAGGTTCCATCAGGTAGCCAAGACCATAGGGCATCCCAAATGTTTATTGCGCCAGATCCGTAAGATTGTAATGGATCATGACGAACCATGTCTTCCATATGCTCAATGGTACCTGTGATATTGGCTTTGTAATCAGAGATATAAACACAACAATGAGAATGGATTAAGGCACATACTCCTCCTTTCGAGGCAAGGATAATGTCTAAAGCATAACGGTTTTGCAGAACAATCTCTCGTATTTCTGCCATTTCCTTGTTTAACAATTTGGTAGTCTGAATGGTAGCGTTGAACATATGCATAGTCCAGTTATTTAATGCATAGATGTCTCTGTAATTCATGGCTACCCCCATAGATGGAAATATAGATCGTGCAACTTGCGTTCCTGTACTGCCGGATCCTCCCAGGCCACCCTCTAGATCTCTTCGATTGCGCAAACGGCCTGAAGGTGGCTGATCTGAAACAAAAACTGAGGGAGCAAGGAAGCCCAATGTACAACGGCCGGACCACCATGGAGGTATACGTTGATATGCCCGCCGGCCACAAAGATCCATACATTACTTAATATATTTGTAGTCGTGTTGGAGCTTTGCACAGTTTGGCGAGCCATGGCTCTTACAATACTGCAAAGGAAGAGTGTGGACATCGTGTCTGTGTTGCTGGGATGACATCCTGTTGATAGCGAGCATCCAGTTATTTGATAGGTACACATATAATCAGAAAAGTCATCAAGGGATTCAAAAAGAGGAGTTTTCTTAAAGGGATGTGATCTAGTCATGTTGTTTGAAAGTTGAAATGTGATGTTACAATATGGGTATCTGCCTACTAAAACAGAGTTTTTAGCAGTGTTCTTATATTCCCAACAAAACGCTGCTTTTTCCTGGATTCTGCTTCCTATTGTATATACCGTATAATTCACCATAGCATTGGAAAGAGTCCCTCTAGACCAAGGAAATTGTTTCCAACCAGTTGTATTAAAAGGCACCGCATGCATAAAAAGTCCCCCCTCCTCCAGGGTTGGAATATGCATGCACATCCAACACTCAGTCTTGTTCAAAAGGCGAGAAATATTCTGCACATCTTTCATAAAAGAGTTGTGGGCCCAGGGTCCATGGTCATCTGATGTCTGGTTAGGATGGTGAAGATTGAACCAAATAAGGGCGAACACAGCGAGCTGGAGTCCAAATGATTTTGCCATGATCATCTACCGCAGCGTAGCCTCTCCCCCAGGTGATAAGCTCTGCAGGACCTTTCCACGTGGGGTCTGGAAGCCGTTGATAGTAGACTGGAGGTCTTGAAGTAGGGGGAGGGACTGTTGAAAAATGACGAGAGGCAGCTGTTGATGGTGGATCGCCCGTCAGATTTAAAAAGTTCAGTGTATAAAGGCACAAGTTAAGGATGTTTTGCACTGCTGGGAGGCCAGGGGCGATTTTCCCCTTTTCATTTAAATATCGATTGAGAGCTGTTTTTAATGTTTGATTTGCTCGCTCAACCAAGGCTTGACCTTGGCTATTATACGGAATGCCAAATTTATGAACAATGGACCATTTTGTACAGAATTCTGCAAAAGCAGAGCTAATATAAGCAGGTCCATTGTCTGATTTTAGTTCTTTGGGGCGTCCCAACGATGCAAATGACTGAATACAGTGATTGATAACATGTTTAGTGGCCTCACCCCTCTGGGGGGAAGCCATAATAAAGCCAGAATATGTATCAATAGAAACATGAAGATGTTTCCATGGGGCAAAGGGAGGATATTGAGTAATATCCATTTGCCAAATTTGACAGCTCTCCAAACCACGAGGATTTACTCCTAGTGGTATTGAGTGTGCTTGCTTGCTACAGGTTGGACATTGCTGAACGATGGCAGCAGCTTCAGCAGCTGAAAGATTGAATTGTTTGATTAATGCTTTCTTATTCTGATGGAAATAGGAGTGACTTTCCCAAGGGGTTAAAAAGGTGAGTGGCATATTAAGAGGTGTTTGTGAGGCGGCAGCATCGGCAACATCATTGCCTTCTTGGAGTGGACCTGGAAAAGGCTGATGGCTACGAATATGGGCAACAAAAAATGGGTGTTTCCGATTGTTTATGAGATGTTGCAAGTCCAAAAATAATGTTAACAGATCCATAGAGACATTTGGTGCTAAATAAGAATCAAAAATGGTTTTGACAATTTGGGTAACATATAAACTGTCCAGGATCAAATTAAAAGGTTGATCTTTAAAATGAAAAAATGCCATTGTGGCTGCCACTAACTCAGAGCGCTGAGCTGACGTCTGTGGGGGGGGTGATTTTTGTACACCACTTACCCTCCTCTTTCCAAGCACAGGCTCCATGAGTCTTGCTGCCATCTGCAAACACCGTTATTGCTTCTTTTAAAGGGAAAGAAACATAAGGAGATTGCCATTTAAATGGGACTGTTTTTAATAAAAAAATGCAAGGATCTGATGGTGGATGACAAGACACTTCTCCTGGCCAATCAGCAAGTGCTTGCTGCAAAGATTCATAATTGGCCAACAAACTTTCCCAAGCCGTTAGCGAACAAGGGATATATAAAAAGGATGGTTCAACACCCCCTAAAGCCTTTGCCCTAAAGCGAGATTTTGTTATAAGCTGAGCAAAGAGCGTATGTTTCTGTGAAATGGTGTTCTTCGGGGTGTGAGATAAGTGGATCCATTCTACAATCATCATTTTTATATTAGACACGATCTGAGCCAAAGCTGCCGTAGGAAGGTCAACGGTGTTAAAAATTAACATAGAAAAAGGCATATCGGGCTGAACACGATCGACCCATACTTTTGACAATGCATGCTGAATGATGTCACAAGTTTTAAGTTGTTGTTGAGTTAACACGATCTTATCTCCTGGATTTTTTCCCTGCGTAAGAGCAGAGAACAATGGAGCCAATTGAGAGGTGGTTAGTCCCATATAGGGACGGGCCCAATTAATTGATCCTAAATATTGTTGAAGTTGGACTAAGGTTGGGCATGGTGGAAGACACAACTTAGACAGCTGAGGCTCGGCGTGTGAGGCCAAAAGCTTGTGGCCCAAGTACAGAAAGGGGTGTTTAAGCTGAATTTTTTCAGGTGAAATAAAAAACCCATTTGTTTGAAAAATGGAGGTTAGAACAGGCAAGGTTGCTGAGACCGTACCTGAGGGCCCTGGAGCTGCCACTAAAATATCATCCATATAATGGTAAATTTTAAAATGAGGAAACTTGTCCCGATATGGTCTTAAAACCTGATTGACAACATATTGACACATTATAGGACTGTTTA